CATAACTTCTCTGGGTGAACTTGATGATTCTTTTTTTATCTAAAAGCTGGTGCTTCTCTTGTAGTTCCATATAAATGTTATCTGACCTCACCAGTAGTTAGGTATTATCTTTTATAACGCGTATTCAATGACTTTTCATTTGACTTTGACATTCAATTGACTTTGAATACATTGATGATATTCTAATGTTAATTATATTGAAGTCAGTTGTACAATATGTTTAATTTTACTACTTCTGTCATTATGAATTGTACGTAGATCATGGTGCTTCAAATTTTATTTTGAATAGAATAAGGAGTATTTTCGGTATTTGATTGTAATTCGTAAACTGATGTATTTGCTATAAAATAAGTTAAACGTAATTTATAATAAATAAATTCGTCATCATCTCTAAGGAATGCCACAAAGCAAAATCAAATTTCTGCTCATATTATCAGACCAGACACTCACAGACTATCAGCGTGAAATAGCAGCTTAATGCTGCTGTGTTTCAAACGGTTAGTATAGAATCGGAAACCTTTTTACTGGAAACGAGGCATTCCAGGGGTTTATTAATCCTCAGGGGTGGCAACGCATCTTAGTGGCATTTTGGTTCTTATACAGGCCGCAGCATCCACTTATGATACTCTCTCTGTGCTCGTTTGTCAACCTTATTCTATAAAAAATCTATTTAGTGTACGTACGTGGAGAAATTAGGAGTATTTTCAGTTAATTGAATATTGACTTCTTTTTAATTTGGCGTATTTGTTTATTTTGTATAATTTATTAAATCTTATTGAAAACTCCCTTTACATCTCGCGTAAGACTTAGCTACATGTGACAATTATTCATACATCAATTACTTACACCCAATCAAAATTCCATTATTGTACATAGAGTTCCTTTTCTCGTTATTTAGGGTTAAACGATCATACACCTTCCAAATTGTAAAGTAATAACACCTTGTTAGATCGATCCATTTTTACGGTGAAGAAAACTTCTCTGAAACCGCACAGTAATGAACGGTTTGGTAAATTGCACAGTTTTATCATGATATGCGTATTATAGCATTATTTGGCGTGAAAGTAACCAGGCAATCGACTCTCAAGCGTAACAGATTGATGGTCTTTTATCTCTTGTTGCTACAATTTTTAACTTTTTTAATTGTAATCCTGAATACCTTTTCTGAAAACTGTTGCTTAAAATTTACAGCGAACTGCTCCAGAAGGATATGAAATTTTATCCCAACCGAATATTCAAAATTAATACTTTATCCAGTTTTAAATGAGAGTCCAAAAAAAATTAACAGTGCGAGTTTAGCAAGTAGCTTTAAAAGTTGGCGCGTTTAATAAAGATTTCAAAATGGTATAACACTTGCGAGATTATTTATTAAATTATGGAAGAAAAGTGTTTTTAAAGAAACCCGGTTGTACACTAATCTTCGTTACCCGTCTAAAATTATTTTAGTGTACCTTGGGGCTTTCTACAAGCCTGCTTCTTAAGATTCTAGTTTGAGTAAAATGGAGGGAACTATTTGACAGAGTGTGAGTGAGAAAGAAATCCTCTTTTCAGGTATTTCAAAATCATCACGAGCTATAGCAATGTTGAATTAGTGTATTTGCTTTAAAATTTATTATTATTTTTTAGAAACATTATTCCTGATTACGTAATAAAAAGAAATTAAAAAAAATAACTTGTAGCAACAGGATTCATTAAAACGTCAAAAAGTGTAGATTTTAAAGATTATTTTACGCGATAAAATCCGTAAAGACGAGTATTATTTAAACAACATATATTTATATACGTATTATTAAAACATAGGCCACTCTTATAGATTGCCTCATAAAGTCGATTATGCCATAATTGCCTCGCTTGACAAGTGGGTAGGAAACTTTTTTTTTATTGATTTGAAATGTTATCAGGAAAATGCTGCTACCCAACAATTATTTCAATTTTCCTCTGTCGCCTCTTGAGACATCCTCTTGAGATTGGACATCAGACATCATCCTCTTGGATATTCTTATACTGTCACTAAACGCTGTTCCGAAAAGGCCTCTAAGTAATTGTTTCGAGATTGTAAAATGCTTCCACGATTTCAAAATGAGTCAAAAATCACTCCTCTAATTACCATAAAAATTAAAGATGGTAACAATATTAAGACGCTAAATGACAATAAAAATTCGTTATCAACTCTATTAGTTTTCTTACTCTTGCCTACAGGCCTGTTAATAGTTTTCGTAGGACCGTTAATTTTCGCTTGTTCTGTTATTGACAGCTTTGGAAAGGCCTAAAGTATATCAGAAATTAATGAAGTGTATATATAATTGAAGAAAGTCGTTCAACGAGGTACGGAAAGAGTTTTATTTGCGTTTTATCTAAAGGTAAGCGGATGGTGTGGCCCATAGACATCTAAATCTATCCTTTATTAAGCATTAAAATGCAGATGCGCTGTCACTCCTGACGTGTAAGATGAAATGTCTCGTTTCCAGTGAAAGTTGTCTCCGGTTCTCTACACTCACCA